TCCTCTCTCCCCCCCTCCTCCCCTCCACTCCTCCTCCCTGCCTCCTCCTCCTCCTCCTCCTCCTCCTCTCCGTCTCCTCCGCGCGGAAGAAATCCAACAACATATCTAACGCAAATCAACGAACTCTGGCCATCCGGGCCTTTTTGAAGGTCCTTTTAGGGCCCTTTTGGGGCCGTCCTGGGGCCCTCTTGGGCGTCCTAGAAGCCCGGAAATCATGTTCCCGGAAAAGCTTCTGGGAACATGATTTCGAACGAGGCCCTCTTGGGCCTTCCTGAGGCCGTCTTGGGGGCATCCTGGGCCGGCTTTGGGGCCTCTTGGGCCGTCTTTGGGGGGTTCCGTGAGCCTCACAGGACGACCCGTTTGGGCCGTCGTGGGCCATCTTGGGTCTCTCTTGGGCTGTCTTGGGGCTCGGGGGCGTCTGGGGCACTGTGAGGACCAAGCAAACGAGTATGCTGAAAATGCATGCTTTACGAATGGGAATGGGCCGGAGTTTGCCTCTTGAAGACCCTCTTGAGGCCCTCTTCGGCCATCTTCAAGCCATCTCGGGCGCTGTTGGGGCGCTCTTGAGCGTCTTGGGGCCCTCTTGGGCATCGCTGAGGCTTTCTTGTGGGTCTCTTGGGCTGTCTTTGGGGCCTCATGGGCGTCTTGGGCGGGTTCGTGGACCCCACAGGACGCCCAGGGGGCGGCCATGCCAACCGGTGGCACCACCCCACCCCCGCCCCCGAGCCCCGTCCGTCTGTCCTACTGCTCCTCTCCAAACCCTCGTTCCCTAACCTCCCGATCATGTTCCCGGACCCCCGTCCCTTCCCCCCAGAGCACCGCAGCAGTAGGAAAGCGTTCCGAAATGGTGAGAAATCATGTTCCCGGAAAGCGTTCAAGAATATGAATCGTACTTCGTCCAAGGCGCCTCGGAAGGCGCAGAATACTCCTCCAAGGCGCGGAATCATGTTCCCGGACCGCCTTCCGGGAACATGATGGGGACGACCTCCTGAGGGCCTCCAGTGGGCCTCTTGGGGGCCTCTCGGAGGCCTGTTGGGCTCTCCTGGAGGCGTCTTGGGGCGCGCTCAGGGCCATTTTTGGGCATCTTGGGGGCCTCTTGGGGGCCTCCAGGGAGGCTCTTGGGGGCCTGTTTGGGGCCTCTTGGGGCCTCGCGGGGCCCTCTTGGGGCCCGCTGGGCTCGCTTAGGCAATCTTGAAGCCCTGTCGGGGCTCTCCTGGAACCGTCTTGGGCGGCTCCTGGGCCATCGTGGGGCTCTCCTGGGCCGTTTGGGACGATTTTGGGGGTCTCTTGGGCCGTCTTGGGGCGGTCTTGGGGGCCTCTTCGGCCGTCTTGGAGCGGTTTTGGGAGACTCTTGGACGGTCTTGGAGCGTCGGAACCCTGAAAAAGCGAGAAGGCCCAAAGCCTCGAAAAAACAATAAAAATCAACGATTTTGGCTTGTCGCGGCTCTCTTGGGAGGCCTCTTGGGATGCCTTCGGGGCCTCATGGAGCTTTCTTGGAACGTCTTCGGGGCTTCCTGGCCATTCCTGAGGCTATCTATACGCGTCTTGGAGCGCTCGCGGGCCGTTTTCGGCGGTCTCGATCTGTTCCTGGCGGTCCCAGGGGCCCTCCGGGACGCTTCGGACGCTCCCGGGGGCGCCCTGCACCCCCCATGGAGATTACAGGCACCGCCCCGGGCCGCCCCCGGGCCCGACTCCGATATGTATGTGTATATATATATGTATGTATACATATATATATTTATGTATATATATGTGTATATATGTATATGTATATATGTGTATGTATGTATGTATATATATATATATATATGTATGTATGTATATATTTATATACATATGATATGTATATTATATACACATATATATATATATATATATACGTATAGACATGTTACGTAAGACATGTAAGATTGTGTACACAGGAGAGGAAAGTATAGAAACATACGTCGGAAGGCGCCTCGGAAGGCGCAGAATACTCCTCCAAGGCGCGGAATCATGTTCCCGGACCGCCTTCCGGGAACATGATGGGGACGACCTCCTGAGGGCCTCCAGTGGGCCTCTTGGGGGCCTCTCGGAGGCCTGTGGGGCTCTCCTGGAAACGTCTTGGGGCGCGCTCAGGGCCATTTTTGGGCATCTTGGGGGCCTCTCGGGGGCCTCCAAGGAGGCTCTTGGGGGCCTCTTTGGGGCCTCTTGGGGCCTCGCGGGGCCCTCTTGGGGCCCGCTGGGCTCGCTTAGGCAGTCTTGAACCCTGTCGAAGCTCTCCTGGAACCGTCTTGGGCGGCTCCTGGGCCATCTTGGGGCTCTCCTGGGCCGTCTTGGGAAGATTTTGGGGGTCTTTTGGGCCGTTGGGGCGGTCTTGGGGGCCTCTTCGGCCGTCTTGGAGCGGTTTTGGGAGACTCTTGGACGGCCTATATATATATATATATATATATATATACATATATATATATATACATATATTATATATATATACATATATATATATATACAGAAGAAATTGAAATATGTGGAAGGAAGTGGCACGACTCGGGAGGGCTTGGGGGAGGGGTATACATATACACATACACATACACATACATGTATATAGAAACATACGTAAGACATGTAGGATTGTGTACACAGGAGAAGGACAAGCTATAGAAACATACGTACGTCGTCCAAGGCGCCTCGGAAGGCGCCTCGGAAAAGCGCAGAATACTCCTCCAAGGCGCGGAATCATGTTCCCGGACCGCCTTCCGGGAACATGATGGGGACGACCTCCTGAGGGCCTCCAGTGGGCCTCTTGGGGGCCTCTCGGAAGCCTGTTGGGCTGTCCTGGAGGCGTCTTGGTGCGCGCTCAGGACCATTTTTGGGCATCTTGGGGGCCTCTGGGGGCCTCCGGGGAGGCTCTTGGGGGCCACTTAGGGGCCTCTTGGGGCCTCGCGGGGCCCTCTTGGGGACCGCTGGGCTCGCTTAGGCAGTCTTGAAGCCCTGTCGGGGCTCTCCTGGAACCGTCTTGGGCGGCTCCTGGGCCATCTTGGGGCTCTCCTGGGCCGTTATGAGACGTTTTTGGGGGTTTCTTGGGCCGTCTTGGGGCGGTCTTGGGGGCTTCTTCGGCCGTCTTGGAGCGGTTTTGGGAGACTCTTGGACGGTCTTGGAGCGTCGGAACCCCGAAAAAGCGAGAAGGCCAGAAACCTAGAAAAAAAAACAATGAAATCGACGATTTTGGCTTGTCGGGCCTCTCTTGGGAGGCCTCTTGGGATGCCTTCGGGGCCTCATGGAGCTCTCTTGGAACGTCTTCGGGCCTTCCTGGCCATTCCTGAGGCTATGTATGCGCGTCTTGGAGCGCTCGCGGGCCGTCTTGGGCGGTCTCGAACTGTTCCTGGCGGTCCCAGGGGCCCTCCGGGACGCTTCGGACGCTCCCGGGGGCGCCCTGCACACCCCATGGAGATGACAGGCACCGCCCCGGGGCCCTACTCCGATATATATATATATATATATATATATATATTATATATATATATATAGATATATATATATATATATATATATATATATATATATATATATATATATATATATATATATATATATGGTTACGGCCCCTCCCGGTACCAACCTTATTGATGTTTTATGTGATTGTTTTTTAGTTTTTTTTTTTTTTTTTTTTTTTTTTTTTTTTCCAGGAGCCTCCCTGGGGCCGCCGTCGTGACTCCAGCTCGCCGCCTGGGGAGGGAGGGGGCTCCTGGATTTTTTTTTTTTTTTTTTTTTTTTTTTTTTTTTTTTTTTTTTTTTTTTTTTTTTTTTTTTTTTTTTAAAAAAAAAAAAAAAATAAAAAGTTAAATAGAGTACCAGGCGAAATAGCAATTCCTTGGAACAGTGGCTGGAAAATGCAGGTGTCGCCTGGTACTCTTTTTTTTTTTTTTTTTTTTTTTTTTTTTTTTTTTTTTTTTTTTTTTTTTTTTTTTTTTTATTTTTTTTTTCGAAAAATTTTTTTTTTTGATTCTTATTTTTTTAATTTTCCAGGAGCCTCCCTGGGGCCGCCGCCCTGGACTCCAGCTCGCCGCCGGGGGAAGGAGGGGGCTCCTGGAAAATTTAAAAAAAATTAGAAATTAAATAGAGTACCAGGCGAAATCGCCATTCCTTGGAACAGTGGCTGAAAAATGCAGGTGTCGCCTGTTTTTTTTTTTTTTTTTTTTTTTTTTTTTTTTTTTAAAAAAAAAATCCAGGAGCCTTCCTGGGGCCGCCGCCATGGACTCCAGCTCGCCGCCGGGGGGAGGGGGGGGGGGGCTCCTGGGAAATTTTAAAAATTAAAAAATTAAAAAAAAATAGAAAATTAAATAGAGTACCAGGCGAAATCGCCATACCTTGGAACAGTGGCTGAAAAATGCAGGTGTCGCCTGGTGCTATATTTTTTTTATAATAATTTATTAATTTTTTTAATTTTCCAGGAGCCTCCCTGGGGCCGCCGCCCTGGACTCCAGCTTCACCAGCATCAATCAGCAGCAGCAGTAACTAGTAGTAGTAGTGGTGATCACGGTACGGCGACGACTCTGAATTTGAGATGAGTTATGTAAGCTTCTGGGTGGACTCCGAAATCCGCAAAAGCTTACATAATTCGGGTCGCAATGCGAAGTTGTTTGATATTTTAGGGTGAAGGCAAAATGCACAAAGCTTACATAACCCTTCTCAAATTCAAAGTTATGTAAGCTTCTGGGTGAACTCTAAAACCCACAAAAGCTGACATAACTCTTGTCCCCCCCTTATAGTACTGGCAATAGCAACCCAGTGATATGGACCCCCCACATCCTGCTCTCCAAACCCCACGCCGCTCCAAACTCTATCCAATCCCAAACCTCCTCCATTCCAAACCTCTCCTCATTAAAAAATGACCTCCGCTCCAAACTTCCTCCTGGTTTGTCCGCCACATCCGTCCACTTCTGGCTCAAAGGCGTTCTCATTTACACCACCAGCGTCCGCGGCATTCCTTGCTGGCTCACCTTTCCATTAACCAGCAAACTATGCCAACCTACGGGCGTTGCTGGCGCACGGTCCCCACCCAGAACCTTGCGCCCGATCCAGAGGAGGCGGAAACCCTCCTGCACGGAACGAACCGCCTGCTCCCCCCAGAGGAGGTTGAGAAGCTCTGGGAGACGCAGTCTGCCGCAGAGTTGTGGGAGCCCGACCTGTGGGATGCCGACATCGGTACGGAAGGCTGCGACGAGAGCACCACCGACTTCGAGATGAGCTTCTGGATCAAGCCCCTGACCGGCAGGAGGTACCAGGCGTCGCAGCAGAGGTCGCGAGCGCGGCGGTACCCGAAGCAGAGGACTCCACGTACTCGAGCGTCCGTGTCTGGCAAAGACGTACAACAGCATCGAGCGGCATGCACCGTGCCGCCGTCCACCTTGGACGCAGCCAGCCGCTACACCCAGAGTTGCCCCGAACTTGCGAAGGCCGACCTTTGGGCGGAGACCAGTGACGATACCACCGCCGCCCCGATGAGTCGCTTCTGGGGCGACGACGCGTCCATGGCCTGTGGCTTGTGCATTGGGTCTTGGAAAGCCCTGGACGCGCGAAATCAGGCAGCACGCACCCTGCAACTACGGTCCACCAGGGGTTGGCTACCCGGCGGCATGCATCGGGGAGAGCCCAGTGGCGACATCATCCGCCAGGCCGACGACGCCGGCCACCAGAATGACCTGTCCGACGCCGACGACCACTTGGAGGGAGCGCTGGCGCGGGTGATGGAGGAGGGAGGTTTCCTTGGTGACGACGCTGGTGGTCTCGAAGAGCAGGCTGAGCTCCGAGGCGCACCGCAGGACGGTGCCAGCGGTAGCGCAGAGCCAGCTGAACGGCCAGCGAAACGCCAACGCCGCAGTGACGGCGAGTCCTCCATGGATAGGCTGAGCAGATATTCCCAAAAAGGATTGGACTCCCATGGTGACATCAAATTTTCCACGGAAGATACGACCGACGACATACAGTCCATCTACGCACGCCTCTACACTCTAGTCACGGGAGCGATGGATGGGGCTTGCGATGCACTTTGGAGGGTGGTCGCGTGCGCGGTCGTTCTGCACTGCCTCCGCCTTTGCGATATCGGCCTTCGGGAGCACTGCTTGTTGCTGCACATCTTACTGCACGACGTCGCCATTCGCGCCCACGGTGGGGAGCTCTACATGTACGGTGACGGCACGTGGCTTCCATTTGCAGGCCTGGTTGCCGAGTCGGTGCTGGCCACATGTAAGCGGGGCCTCCTGCGGGTTGAAGGGCTCTTCCTGCTCGTGGACACGTGGAAGAGGGCCGACGACGCTGCCTTCGTGGAAAAGTGCAAGGCCGCATGGTCTAGCCACGGTGGTACCTCCGTCACGTTCACCGCCCACTGCGAGGTGTCCGCGTCCAAGGGGAAGAGGAGGTTCCAAGGCCCTGCCCCAGATGAAACTGAGGATCCTGCTGGTCCTGAACAGCAAGGGGGTCCCCATCAACCAGGCGAGCGGGATGAGGCAGAACCCAACGAGTCGCAAGGCGAGTTTGCAGCGAAGATGGTGCAGAAATTGTCCGCCGCTCTGCAGAACGAACTGTTGGGGGCGAAGCTGATTAAGCATTACGGCGAATGGTGTTCGACTCCGAAGAGACCAGCCTCTGGCGTGTGCTTCAAAGACGCGTGCTTGCTGTTCGGGCCGAACGGGGAGACCAATTTCGTCGACAAGGGCCAGTCGATGAACGTGTACATTCACGTGCCCCACGCACTGAAGGACCCCGTCCTGGAGACCGTAAACACGGAGCTGCAAACCTTTCTGGGCCAGACATTCTAGGACAACGGCGTCGCCCTCGACTGCCAGCTCGCCGCCATGTGCCTCGTCCTCCAGGGGGGGAACATAGACCGCTGCTTTTGGACGATCGGACCTGGTGGCGTGGGACAATCTCTGCTGACCCATCTCGTGGACAACGTCTTCTCGGGCCTGCACGCGTTCCTCGATGCAACGGTGTACTACGACGGCCACGAATTAAGGAAACAGGCGGAGCAACTCGTTCACGAGCTCATCACCACTGGACAGGAAGCCGTCGAAGGGTCGAAGCACGGATTCCGCGAAGACCTGTGCAAAAAGCATATATCGGCCGACCCGATCGCAGCTCGTCTGCCGTATGGCATTGTCACCCACCTGGTATCGCTGCAGGGCTGGAAAAGATTAGAGCTCAACAAAATCATTCGGTTCGCTGGAGTCACTGCCGAGAGCATCAACAGCATCGAACGCCGCACGTGGGCTTGCATCATCAAATCCAGGTTTGTCTCGCCAGAGGTTCTCAGCACAATGCCCGACGCGGCGTCGATGGGTGTGTTCGTGAAGAATCCAGGCTTGAAGACGTTAGTTCGGTCTCCCCAGGTCGCGCCAGCGATGTGGCGGATTTTGCACGGGTTCATGAGGAGCCATTCCCGCAGCGAGTCCTTCGCCATGATTGAGGATTACGCCGAGGGCGGGGATGGCGGCACCACCGTGGACTGCGTGTACGCGGCGACGGGCGTGCAACGCCGCAGCAAAGACACTGGCACAACCTCTGCCCCACCTGCACCAGGGGGACTCCCTGCGCCCTTCAACCCGATGGCAGCCCAGGAGGAGGCCGATCGGAAACTCAGCCTGACACTAGCAGTTCTGCTGTTGGAGAACCGCGTGGACTCCATCACGGCAGAGGAGTTTGCGAACAAGCTTGGGCATGGCATGGTATCTGGTACTGCGGAGAAGAGAAAGTCGGAGTTCGATCGCCTTGTCACAGCTGGCCTCTGGGTCAAGAACGGCACGGGCAGTAAGGGTAACACGTCTTACGTGCCAGCGCATTGCTTCGCGCGCAAGCCCGACTGCCACTGGCCTGGGCATGCGGGCGACGACCTGCCAGCCCTTCAGGAGCAAGTGCAGTGCCAGAGCGTCATAGAGTATGCCGACAACGCCCCCCGTTGCCAGAACGTGGCCACACTACAAGAGTACTGGCGCCAGATGTGCGACTTCCTGGTGCCGAAGCAGCGGGGCCGGCTGTCGGCGCGACAGCTAGACATGAAGAACGATTTCGCGCACAAGGGCGAGAAGCTGGTTCACCAGGAGCGCGAGCTTCAGAGACTGGCAGAGCACATGCGGGGCCAAGTTGGGGCCGCCGACGGCGTCGCGCCCGAGACGTCGACATATGCGGCGTCATACTCAAGGAGGGGCAGTCGCCGTTCACGGCTATACCTGGACACCTACGGCGTGCAGGCCCTCAGCAACGCGGCGAAGCACGTGGTCATCCCCGAGGCGCACGACTGGGACATCTCGAAGTGCATGTTCACGATCGCCCTGCAACTCCTCGGCAAGGCCATTGCACTGATCTCTCACCAGGCGATCCAGTTCGAGTGTATCACTGCACTCACACAGAACAATGCTGAAGTTCTCGGCCAGCTTGGGGTGCCTTACAACGCTGGCAAGAAGCTTTTCCTCAAGGTCGTGAACGGCGGGCGCATCCCTGAAGAGTACTCGACGAACAACTTTTTGAAGGCATTGCAGCAAGAAGGGATACTGCTACGTTGGTTTGCAGTGGCGATGGACACGGAGGCGCACGCGGCCACCGCCGAGGCATGCAACGGGAAAGCTTTGCACCAGCAGGCGGGGCCATGGCCAGTGAACGTCGCAACGCCATGCTGCCTTAGGGGCGTGGTTTGGGTTGCCGCGCTCACGGCCGTGGCGCACCGCCGCGCGGGCGCGCGGTTTTCCTGGGGCGACCGCCGCAGGACCCGACGAAGCACAACCCCGCCGCCTCCTCGTGGTACTACACTTGGACTGAGATGGAGGACCTGATACTCAACGCATGGTCGGGGCACGTTATCGCATCGCTACGGAACGTGACACATCTGAGTTTGCACTACGACGGCCTCGTGATCAATCCCGAGGCGGTCGTCGACGACGAGTCGTTTGCTGCAGACTGCCAGGGCGCCATCTTACGGTCCACTGGTTTCGCCGTCTCCATCGTGCGGAAGACGACGCACACCTTCCTCGAGTTAGTGAAACTGAACGGCACCCACGCCCAGGCCGCGTTCCCAGTCTTGCCGAAGAGCCTGCTCAAGAACGGCAATTGCATCCTCGCGGCGTTGGCAACGGCCACCCAGCGCCAGCAAGCCATTGGAATATTGACATCAGCGTCAAGTGCAGCGAACAAGGCTGCAGAGCGCAAGGGGTACCGAACGTACCAGGAGGCTTCGAAGATGTGCGATGTACACCTGCATCCCCTCAGAACCCCCGAGCAGCGACTTGCCGAGGGCTGGTGCCTCCTCCATGTGGAGAACAAGGGCGTGCAGCACTGCGTCGCCATGCAGGTTACGGCTGTCGCGTGCACGATCGTGGAGAACACCGAGGCTTGGACGGTGCCGCGGGGCGCATGGAAGACGTATTGGGACGAGGCAGTGGATCGCAAGTTCCTGGTCCTCTTTCAACTGGCTACCGAGGATTTACCCGACGACGCCCCAGAGAGACATTTGCTACGCTTCGCCGCTGGAGCAAGAGCGCAAGTAAAGAGTCGCCAGTACAACTCGTGCCCGACACCGAAGAGGGGCAAGCAGAGATTGCTCCAGGGCAGGGCGCCAGCCAGGACGAACAAAGGTAGAGCGGGCGTCAAGAAGACAGCCATGAAGAAGCCAGCCAAGAAGCGATTCCGCATCCCGAAGAATATCCCGTACGTGCCCGCGCACCAGAAGGCGATGGCTGACGTGGTCGGAGACAGGAGACAGACGTGGAGCATGACGCTCACCGCGTTGGCAAAGCTGTCCCCCAAGCAAACTATCGACCACCTCAGGGATGTCGGTTTATTGCCCAAGTGGGACAGGGGCAGCGCTTGCCCGTTCTGCGGCGCCAATCGCCTGGGGCCGTTGAGGTTCGACAAGGCGAGGGGGTGGAGGCACAGGTGCAATGCGAAGGCTTGCATGAAATGGGTGTACCCGCACGCCTGCCACCCAATTTTCGCTTTGTCCGACGGGGCCTCGTCGGTGCCGCTCAACCGACAGGCGCAGGTCCTCTTTTGCAAGGTGGCTGGCGTGAAATCAGGACAGATACATCTACTGACAGGAGTTTCCAGCAAAACCGTGGAGAGTTTATCTGCGCGGTGGCGGCGAACTGTCAAGGCGCACGTGCTGAAGCGCCAGCGCACGATGAAGTTTGGGGACAGGACTAACTGGACTGAGGTGGAGGTGGATGAGACGGTCATCCGCGGCAGGAAGGACAACAAGAAGAAACGTGTCACTTGGTTCAGCTACTGCGGTCTCGTGGCGCGCGGGGATCGGCGCTCTCTCTCGTTCTGCTGAAGCTCCCAGCGAAAACCACTCGCGCCAAGTCCCACGGCAAGGGCAAGGGCTCGTTCGCTTCACCAGGTCCTACTTCGAAGAAAGATTGGCGTCCCATCTGCAAGAAGTACGTCACGAACCGTAAGGTTATACTTCATAGCGACGGCGCCAGAGCCTACCGGTTCACAAAGGTGCCGGGCGTGATCGTGGACACGGTTCGCCACAAGCGTCCGCGGCCAGTCTACGCAGCCCGTTGGCGGCACGTCTTGCCCGTGGACTTCCTGAGGACGGCCAAGCCGAAATCGGAGTGGGGCGCCACGGAGATCAGGTGGGTGAAGAAGGGCACCCAGATCATAGACAAGGTGTGGGGGGCCCTCAAGTCATTGATCCCGAGAACCACGCAGGCCCACGAGAATAGAGTAGAATCGGCAGTCCGCGAGGCTCAGTGGTTCCTGTGGAATAAGGGCAGGGACCGCTGGAGCGCTGTTGGGGAGATCTGCAAGTAGCCAGACCTCCACACCCATGTACTCACTCCATCCTCCGCCATCTGAGCTGCCTCCTCGTCCTCCTCCTCTGGCATGATGGCTGCCGCAGTCAGACACAGGTCATATTGCGACAGTGTGCAATACGGAGCACCAGACTCCGCATTTTGTTTTGAATGGGGACTTCCTCTTCCACCCGTTCCTAGTCCCCGAGAGGCTCGCGCGTCGGTCGAGAAAAGGAGCAACATCCTTAACGCCTGGGTACCTCAGATTGCCTTAGAGGCGGGGCCCGTCGACTACAGTGGGGGAGCGCATCAAGAAACCGGATGTCTTTCGTCAGGGTGCCTTCGGTTTCTTCGCGCCGCGTGTTGCGCGATGGATTCTCGCGGCTGCCAAGAAAAATTCGCGTCCAGGATCCCCTGGGTTTCTTCCCAGTTGCACCTCGGGCAATCAAACGGTCCGCTACCGAAGAACCTCCCAGGCGACTTGCTAAGAACCTGCTCGGGCCAGGGGCCCCTGGGTTTCTCCGCGTGACGCCGATGGCTAAGAAACCTTAGCCCTGGGCAAGAAACTTTGAGGATTTTCAGGGTTCGGTTTCTTGCGAGGGTTTCTTGTGGCCGCGCCCCCACTGTAGTGTCATTGCGATTTATTTGTCAGTTAAGATCCAGCCCCTCCGTCGTATCCTTCTGCTCATGTTCCACTTCATCTTGTTTCTCTTCCTCCTCGTCGTTATCTCCACTTTCCCTCGTCATCCTTCTCCCCCATACCATCCCCCTCCCTCCTCCTCCTCCGACGACGACGACTGTTGCGACGGCGACGACGACGGCGACGACTCCGAATGCGAGAAGGGTTATGTAAGCTTCTGGGCGAACTCTGAAATCAACAAAAACTTACATAACTTCTTCCGCAACTCAAAATTGCGTGGGCTTTGGGTTTGAAGGCATAATGCACGAAGGTTACGTGGGCCTTTTCAAATTCACAGTTGTGTAAGCTTTTGGGTGATGTCTGAAATCCACGCCGGCCCGCGTAACTCGCGTCGTCTCCCCCCTCCTCCTCCGCCGACGACGACGGCGACAGCGACGACGGCGACTGCGACGGCGATGACGACGGCAACGACTTCTGAATGGAAACAGGGTTATGTAAGCTTCTGGGTGAATTCCGAAATCCACAGATGCTTACATAACTCCTATCGCAATGCAAAGTTGTGTGGGCTTCTGGGTTGAACGCAAAAAAAACACAAAGCTTACGCGAACTGCCCAAACACATAGTTATGTAAGCTTCTGGGCGTACTACGAGATCCACAAAAGCGTACATAACCTGTGCCGCAACCCAAGTTAAGTAACGTGCTGGGTGTACTGTGGCACGCCATGTGGTGCAATACGCGTGGTGTATGCCATGTGGTGCAACCTATAAGGTGCAAGTCTGTGTGATGCAGTCTATGTGGTGCACTCAACGTGATTCACCGAATATGGATGCACCTTTTGGGTGCGGAGAGGGGCAGTGCAAAGCAGCACCAAACTTACATGACCTCCGTTGCGCATTTTGGCCCAGGCACGCGGCGCAAGGCCGTGAACCGTTGGGAGAATGCCTGACAATACTTACCCATCGCGCGCGGAATGGGTATCATGGTTCGATGAGTTTGCTCAGTATGTTCCTTTGGATATCCAGAATATGAGGGATATCATGCCAGACTTGGTTAAGGTCTGCCAATCGCAAAAAGGTATTATTGTAATGTGCGTAGTGATCAAAATCCCACGGGCTCGCAACGATTTCTTGGCACTTCTGCAAACGAACTTTCGCAAGTTAGTGGTAGGTAACAGGTCCCTGACAAAAGACATGTTCAACATATTCAGTGAGCTTGTTGACAGAGTGGCTGAGGCAGGTGATATTTTCGAAGAGGAGACCTCCGCCATAGGGGGGCCACTCAAACAACATGGCTTCTTGGTACAAATGCAGCGCTTCGGCGTGATAGAGCCAGTGCAGCCTGGGCGCAACACCATTCAACTAGGATGCACTGGAAACGCGTACAAAAAATTACAGTTCACACCAGCAGCCGGAGAGGAAATTGACAAATTCCTGCAGCTACATGACGCCGTCGAGGCCGTGTGTTCTTTGGGGCCACCGGAGAGCCTGCTAGCGTACAGGCCGATGATGTCCTACGTCGTGACGTGCTTCAATCGGCACCGCGTAGTGGGAATGTCCAGCGTATGCTACTGTAGTGAATGGGCGGCGCGGTCTCTGATTGACGCGTTTATGCACGTCAACGGCCTTGACCGCCTGGATATTGACCCCGAAGACCTGATCGAGACCCTGCCTGGCCCCGATGAGAATAATTGTCGCGCAGACATTGCGGAGAAGTTCAAGGTCAAAACGGTGTCAGCTCTTCTTCAGAAGTTGCGGGGTGAAGGGATCCATCAAATGCTTTCGGCGCACCTGTTCACTATGATATTCTGTCTTGTGAAAGGGTATTGGGCAAAGGACACCGATGCCTCGGTGCAGGGGCGTTCGTCCGCTGCTGGCATACACGTGGTGCACAAAAAAATGCAATACCAAAGTTTGTCTGCGTTCTTGTCATACACGCACAAGAAGCTGTTTGGAAAATCAATAACGTCCCCTGCCCAGCGCACGTGGTGCATCATTTTCAATCACGATTATGAAGACGAAGACAAACTAGTGTTGAAGAACTGTCAAAGCTTACAAAGGTTGCCACTGGATGTAAGGTGCGGTGAGCGCGACGTACGCTTCTGCGCCGCCGTCCATTGTCAGTCTTATCGCCAGGCCTCCTACAATGAGCAGGAAGACACAGTTGTGTACAAGGTTGCCACCGTGTCCGCATTGGCCAAAAAGGCCGCTGTTCCCGCAAGCGCGTCAAAGCGCCAGAAGCTGCGTTGATCGCTGAAATATTGTAATTTTAAAGTGACGGGTCCCAAAAAATGAGCGGGTGACTTCATCGTCGTCGTCGTCGTCGTTTTCGTCGTCGTTCCCCCTTTTCCGCCCCCGTCCTCCCGTGCGACGAAAACGTCGACGGCGAACGACCGCGACCGCGATCCCGACCTCGACCGCGGCCGCGACGACGACGACGACGACGACCACGACGACGACGACGACGACGACGACGACGACCACGACGACGACGACGACGACGACGACGACGACGACCACGACGACCACGACGACGACGACGACGACGACCACGACGACGACGACGACGACGACGACGACGACCACGACGACGACCACGACGACGACGACGACGACGGGACTGGCCAAGGGGCTTGAGCACCAGGTCAAAGGAGCACGACAAGCGGGTCGGCGAGGAGCGGGCGGCGACGACGACGACGACGACGGTGCTGGTCAAGGGTCGAGCACCAGGCCAGAAGGGCGCCACAAGCGCGTCGGCGAGAGCAGGCGGTGACGGACGAAAAGGTTGGTACGGGGAGGGGCCGTGAGCATGTGTATATATGCATGTATGTATGTATGTATGTATGTATGTATGTATGTATGTATATATATATATATGTATACTAGCCCAATAATTCAGCAAGGATTCGCCGCAACGTTTGGCCACGTAGGCGGTTCGAAAAGGCAGGGGGCGGCAGTGGTTCGCCGTAGGCGTCTTCGATATTCTTTTTGTTCGGCGGTAGTAGTCTGGTCACGAAGGACGGCCGGGCCCGCAGGCAGGCCCAGCAAGGTTGGATGAGCATCGTTTAACCGATTCCCATCCCCGCTGGCATGGCCTTGGCCCCACTGGCCGACTTTTCCCCCTAAGTGGGGATCGGAGGTGAGGTGGTGAGATCGAAATGGAACGGATAGCCCCCCTACCGGGAAATCGATTTCGGTTTCGTGTTCGTGCGTACCGTGCGTGCGGGCGAGGCGAAGCTGCGTGGGCGGGCGAGAAGAAAGTCTCCTGTAGCTGAGGCGCGGCCGGACCAAATGAGTCCAGACCGGCGTCCGGTGGCCCGCGGTGTCCCGCCTCCGGCTGAGGCGCGGCCGGACCAAATGATTCCGGACCGGCGTCCGGTTGCCCGCGGTGTCCCGCCGGTGTCCCACTGGTGTCCCGTCGGTGTCCCGATGATGATGATGATGATGATGATGATGATGATGATGATGATGATGCTGATGATGATGATGATGATGATGATGACGATCATGATGATGATGATTATGATGATGATGTCGATGATGTTGATGATGATGGTGATGGTGGTGATCATGGTGGTGTCCCGATGATAATGATGATGGTGATGATGATGATGGTAATGGTGGTGATGATGATGGTGCCCCGATGATGATGATGTTAATGATGATGTTGCTGATGATGCTGATGGTGTCCCGATGATGATGATGTTGATGATCATGATGATGTTGATGATGGCGAGATGACGAGACGATGATGACGATGATGATGCTGGTGATGATGATGATGTTGTTCCGATGATGAGGATGATGAGGTTGATGATGATGCTGTAAATGATGATGATGGTGATGATGATGGTGTTGCGATGATGATGAAAATGATGATGATGACGATGATGGTGTCCCAACGATGATGATGATGATGATGATGTTGATGCTGAGGATGATGATGAAGTGATGATGACGGTGATTTTCATGGTCATGATGATGGTGTCCCGATCATGATGGTGTCCCGATGATAATGATGCTGGTGATGTTGATGATGCTGTTCATGATGATGATAATGATGATGATGATGGTGGTGTTCCGATGATGATGATAATGATGGTGGTGATGATGATGTTAGGTGTGATGATGATGATGCCCCGATGATGGTTGTGCCTTGATGATGATGATGATGATGGTGATGATGATGATGATGATGATGGTGGTGGTGATGATGATGATGTTGATGTTGATGATGATGATGATGATGATGATGAGGTGATGATGATGATGGCGTCCCGATGATGATGGTGATGATGATGATGATGACGATGACGACGACGATGATGATGATGATGATGATGATGATGATGATGATGTTGTTGTTGTTGTTGATGACGTTGATGGCGATGATGTTGATGATGATGACGATCACGTTGATTGTGAGATCGATTGTGATATCGATGGTGAGATCGATAGTGAGACCGAATGTGAGATCGATTGTGAGATCGATATTGCGATCGATAGTGAGATCGATAGTCAGATCGATTGTGAGATCGATCGAATGAAACAGATCGAGTGAGATCGATTCTGAGATCGATCGAGTGAGATCGATCGAGCGAGACCGATAGTGAGACCGATAGTGAGATCGATAGTGAGACCGATCGAGTGAGACGTTGGTCCCTCCCCCCCCCGAACCTCCTTATCACCCGAAGGGTGGTCGTACATATTGGAAAATGGGCCAGCGGATACAGGGATCAGTTAGACGGTGCCGAATAGTGAGGCAATCTATGCAGCCCACAAAAAAACTCGGACGCGCGGGCCCCAAACGGACCATCGAAGAGCAGCGTGTGGCGTGCGGGAACGGCGCCTGGACCCTGCCGGCGCTCCGCCGACGCTCTGACTGGTCGCGCGAGAACTTGAATGCCTCGAATCGTGGGGTGGAGCGCTTGAAACGTATGTGGGGCCCCACGCTGGCCAAACGAGGTTCCCGAGGAGAACGCAGGGACCCGCAGTGGCAACGTGGGGGACGCCCGAAGAGCACACAGCTTGAAGATACGGGTGCTAGCTGGCCCAGCGGTATTGACGAGGACCCGAAGGCAGAGTGGAGAGACCCGATAAGGACAGCAGATGCTCAAGAAACCCGATCCTCGAGCCTCAAGGGGGGGAGGAGGAGATCTTGTTCCTCGTGGGTTAGCTGGTAAGAGCAACTTGCCGTTCTCCTTGATCAAGGAGGGGGATGAGCAGGAGGATTCTTGACATCAGCAGCCATTGACCCCAAGTCAAAGAGGAAAACGCCAAATGCCAGGCGGAACGCCATTAATACGAACAGCAGCAGAGGAAAAGGAGGAGGAGGAGAAGGAGGGAGAGGAGGGGGGAGGAGGAGGAGGAGGAGGGAGGGATGAGGAGGGGAAGGAGGAGGGAGGAGGAAAGAGAAGAGGAAAGGGAGGAAGAGAAGGAGAAGGAGAAGGAGGAAGAGGAGGAGGAGGAGGAGGACACTGTCGGATAACACAGCCTTTCAGGGTGGCTGGCCCCTATATCTACGCATGTGAGGGCGCAGCCCACATATGTAAGGGTCAACGCGTGCTGGGTCCAAACCCAATCATGAGGGGGGGTCAATGTATGAGGGGTCGTTGTTCTCGCATCAGGGATCAACGCATGAGGGCACGTGTCACGGCAGGAGGGATCGACGCATGAGGGGTCAAGGCCTCAGCGATCAGCGCGTGGCGGGTCATAAACACAAATGGCAGGTCAATGCGTAAGATGTCCTACACGAGAAGGGTGGGCCCCAGAGCGACGGGTCAACAAATGAAGGGTCGGACCATAGCGGATGGTATGTGCATTCCACGCGCCTTCTGGCCGTAACATGGTTCAACAGTTAACATCCAGGTACGCAGGACGAGGTAGAAAGGGCGGCCATAACGCTGTTGCGGGACAGCAGGCGGACTTAGAAAAAACAAAGACACCAAGGTAGCAACGTGGCGAAGGAAGATGGGCCAGCTGACCGTGGAGGAAAGAAGCGAATCATAATAACAGCCGAGGACAAAATAACATCCGAAGGCAAATTGCATCCCATAAGGGGGGATAAAGCTAAAAGGGAAGTGTCAACGCATCAGTAATATGCCACTCGCTGGGAGGGGATGCGTGACTCAGGATCAATGGGGTAGCGGAGGGAGAAAAAGAAATAGCAAAGCATAACGGCACCAATGATCCGATGGATCCAGACGCCTCCATACAACCAAATGCAGGCCCTCAAAAGAAACAAACAAAAAACTGATCAGGTGTTCGAGAACCGCTGAGTAGGGCCCGACAGTCTACGGGGCCCTGCAAGGGGATTCCGCCGGCAAAGCGAGACCCTCTCAGGGGAACGCCACGAAGGCTCGCCTATGCACTCCCTCTCTGTGCAAGGCCGAGGGCAGGCGACGAGTGAACCTACCCCAGCACAATCCCAATCAGGGCTCACGGCGCGGGACCGCCCATACGTCCGAGGTCCGCGTGGACCCCGCGACGCGGCCCTCCCCAATAATGCTCTCAGCCAGGCGCAGCTGCCGAGGGGGCCCGGAAAGCGCCCGAAACCGCACGGCGTCCAGGAAAGCCAAGCATGGGTGGGACGTGAAAACAACTCGGACCTCCAGGGCACCATCCGAATGCTCAAGTATAGGAGGGGGTCCGAACGTGGAGGGCGAGGAGGGGGGCATCGGGCAGATGGCCCCGGAGGTGAAGTTCAGCGGCTCGGCGCGAGCCATTCGTTTCATCGATGCGGGCCCTCGCGGTGGGCCGTGTGCTCACGCGTCCGCTCTCTCCTCCTCTTTGTCCTTGAGGCCCAGCTTCTGCGCGAGCTTCGCCGCCTCGCGCTCCAGCCCGCCCCTCGGCGGCGAGCCTGGCAAGTAGGTCACCTGAAGCTCTTTATCCTTGCAGCTCGCCGCCATGAGGGTTAGCTGCAAGGCCTCCATCAGCGCGTGCTGACAACTCTCCCACTTGTTCGCCTGCTGCTGGCCTCCGAGCATGATCTGCAACTTGAAGCGACGGGGGGCCTTGGCCTTCTTCGTGTCGCACCAGCAAGCGTTGATTCGAAAGTGGCAGCAATGTGTGGCCATCAGCTCGAGCGCATTCGGAGCCGTGATCACCTTCTGCCAGTAATCCTTGAACAACTCCTGCACTGGCGCCGGCGCGGTCGCTGCCCCGTCCGCGCACGCCCACTTGATGAATGCCTTGAACACATGGGGCCACGGCCGCCCGTGCTGGTGGCCCTTGCCGCCCGCCTTGCAGCTCTCGGCGCAGGCGCGCCCCGCCTCCTGCAGCGCCTTCACGAAGCCGACGCCCGCCCCGACCATGTAGCACGTGAAGCAGGCGCCAGCCACCTCGGCCAACTCGCGCGCGTCGGCGAGAGCGAGCTTCGTGAGTGCCGGCGGCAGGGCCGCCAGCGCGCCACCTTCGCCGCCCTCCTGCTTGGGCGCCGCGCCCTCCCCGAGCTCCTGTAGTAGGCGCGCCTGCTGGGCGGGCCGCGAGTCGCCGTCTGCCCCGCCCGTCTTGCGTTTCGACGCCCAGCTGGGCCCCTCGAGCTCCATCGAGCAGTGCAAGCGGCAAGTCTTCGAAATGACGGCGGGCATGAATGTGAAGATCGGCTTCAGTTTGAACTCGAGCCTCGCAGAAGCGACATGGGGGCCCTCAGGGACAGCGAGCTCGAGTGCAGCGCTGAGCTGGTGCTTGCAGAAGCCAGAAGCGAACGAGTCCAGCGCGTGATTGTAAGCCGAGTTGCGACTCTGGAACCGACTGCAGCAAACGGAACGAGGTCCCCTGAGCAGCCCCCCCCAGCAAAGTCTTACAGCCGTGGGCCGCGCGAACATGTGCGAGCCATTGCCTCTTGGCGAGGCGCCACTGAGTGCAGCCTTCGATCGTGCACCGAACTCCCTCGGCTTGACCTGCTGGCGCGCCTGGTGGATCAGGGGGGGCCTGGTGGGGGTTGGCCATGTGGAGAGATACTGACTGAGAGCCAAGCTGCCCTGACGACCGAAAGATCGAGCTCAATGAACCAGTCCCGCAACTTCGTCATCGAAGAAATCCAAGGGGGCGCCCGTCCAAGACCCCGCATCCTCCTCAGTGTCCGTGGGGGCCCCTCCGAAGGGCCTCAAGGTCCCGAACGAACTGGATGGCCCAGGGGTTAGCAGACGCCGCGATGTGGCCCTCGGAGGTGAGCGCGCTGGGGCCCCGTAGTTTTTCGCTGTTGAGATCGCCGAGGATGGGGGGGCCACTCACTCGGGTGCCTCGAAGGGTTGAGGGTCCACGTCTGATGCCAGCGTAGACGACGAACCCTGAATTCCACCTCGAGCGGGGGGGCCTTCCAGCACCTCAAGGCGGCCTCCGAGGTGACAGAGCGGGCGTGCCCACCCTCCGAAGACGCGGCTGCCCCTCGCATGGCGTTGCGCCCCCCAAAAAACCACCCCGGCCGTGAGCTGGTCGACCTGGCTTCGAGCGGGCAGAGAGGCCTCGCAGGCAGAACGAGCAGGGCCCGCCGCCCTTGCCAGAAAGACCGCGCGCCTCTCGACGTAGGCGACGCGCCCGGGGCACTGGCACTTGCCCATGGAATAGAAGCCAGAGGGGATAGCCGACATCCTTGAACTCAGCTCAGCCCGAAACGACCCGCCGCCCATGGCCCGGCCCCCAGGGTGGCGAGTGGCGCCGGCAGGGGCGCCAGCAAGAAGCACTCTTTCCTTCCGTCACCGCTCGACGTCGAGCGTGCAGACCTTCCCCCGCGAATGACGAGAGACCGACGTTCCTGGGGGGTTGAGAGCAGAGCCGCGTCGTCTGAGCTCGGCAGAAAGAAATAGATCGCAAGCGCGAGACCATCGAGAATGCTCGCGAGCCGTCTGCCCCTCTGTCGTAATCTTGCGGGTCGCGTCGCCGACGTAGGACAGAAAGGCCAGCTCAAGAACAATGTCCTCTCCGTCGTGATGTAGACTGAGCTGGCACCAAGTGGCCGACTCAAGGCCACGCCGTTCGAACTGCTCCTGCGCCGACGCAAAGACCGCGCGAATGTCCCGCAAAGACCGCGCGAATGTCCCGCGCGAATACCGTGGCCGCCCGGGGGTCTCCAATCAATGCGCCACGCTGGGGCGAACACAGATATCTCCAAACGTAACAGCAGCAGACCGAAATCTCTGTCGGCCGAACGCCGCGCGGCCCTCCCGCACGATGCCCTCGCTGGCGTCGGCGAGGCTCTGCCAGACCGTCGAGGCGAAGGCGTTGGCAATATCCTCCATGTCCGCGATGTGACTGATGTTGAGACGGCGCAGCTTCCACGCGCAGGGTTGCTGGCCAGGGGTAGCAGTCTCTCGCCGACGGCGGGGGACAGCCGCGCGCGAAGAGAGGCTCGTCGCGCATCTCGGACGCGTCGGTCGCCGTAGCCTGAAGCCTTTGCCGAGCGGGTCGAGGAGGTGAATAACTCGCTTCCAAGAGAGAGCAACGCCCTGGCCGAGGTGCCAGGCCAGCGGCGCCTGCCCAGATCTGCTAAGCCGACGCATGAAGACCACCAGAAACTTGCGCGTGTACCCCTGGTCAACCTGAGGGGTCTCGTAGCCAACGCCGTGATATCGTCGAGAAACGCGGCGGCAATGGTGAAAGACCATCCACCACAGCTCTAACAGTGATGACCACGGTGAGCAAGCTCGTCTCTTAGCTGCTCGTCTAGTCCATCTGCGGATCTCCTGGGCGCAATTCTTTGCCCATGCCACTCCCTCCTCTATCCACGGAGCAATGGCGTGATGTGCTTCCTGTCCAGTAGCGTCGTCGTAGACGTAGTCGTCGGCCCCCTTGAACCAGTCGGCCTTGGCGGCGGCCGTGCCGCCGCGTCCTGCCGGCAAAGCCCAGTGCTCCGCAAGTTCCTCCCCCGCGGGCAGGGCAACTGGTACTCGACGGTAGCCCCGCTCTCGTGGTCCGACACCTGCGCCCGCCAGCAGCCGTGAAAACCGAGCGACCTCGGCTCGCCGCCCCTGCCTGCGCGCGTCGCTCAGCTCGTCGACCGCGTCCTCTCGCCAACTTCGCCAATGCTGACGTCGTGCAGAGCGAAGAAATGTTGTGTGACACCTAAGTTGCAAATGTGTAGCCAGGAGCGCAGGCCCGAGGTACTCGTCGACCTGGTCCTCCGAGTCGCCCAAATCACAAACTTGTCGCCGCAGCGCCCGCTGCTGATCGAGTAGAGGTTGGATGGTAGCCGCAAGGGTGCGAGATCCTGGTCGGTAGTCGGGCGCCTTGGCGAAGTGTTTGCTGCCGATCGTTAACGTAGTATCTATAAAGAAACCCCAATCAGCGTTGGGAGTCTGCTCGTCGCGCTGGATATTTCTCCATTCCTCCGAGCGTGTACACATATAGGCTTCCAATTCCGTGAGAAATTCACCTCGTCCTTGTCCACTGCGAAGTGATTGCATGAGGGCCTCGCGGTTCCAGTGAATGCGTCGGGGCACAAAGCCCAGACGCGCGTGCTCGGCCGATGTGCAGTGGATATGGGCGTCCGTAGTCTGCTCGATAGAATACTCCATGCACACGTGTACTGTTACATGGTCGCGAGCCTGTCGCGTACTGATCACCTGAAGGTCGCGTCCAAGGCGTCGGAGTGGGCCCGCAGAAGTAACGTCGCCAAGCTGAATCTGGGCCATAAACACAACATCGATCTGCGTGGCGCTCTTGCAACCAGAAAAGGGTGGGCCCATGGCCTATGTAGGTATTGACCGCGACCAGGCCGAGCTCCTCCATCAAGGGCAGGATGCTGTCGGCTGCGTAGCGCTGCGTGTCCTGAGCCGAGGGGCCAAAGACGTCGGACTGGGCAGCCCGCCGTGTGGTGTCTCCGTCCAGCTGCTGGTCGCCGAACACTGAATTCATGTCGATGCAACACATGGGGAGCACGCGCTTGGTGCTCAAGTAGGGCAGAGAACGCAACCAGTTCGTCACGGCGTCGCACGTGCGGCGGTAGACGTCGGCGCTGCTCTTCACAGGAGGCGGTGGGTAGTAGACCGAGCAAGCCCCGATGTCGTACAAAGCACAGCGCGCACGCAGCGCCAGCCCGCGGCCAGCCAGTGAGGCAGGGGGCGTCCAGGTGTGAGTAATCGAGCCGCGTCGGATCTTGGCCCCCAAGATGATGCTGCAGCCCGTGCTCTTGTTCGTGAAGGGGCCCCTGGACCACCCGCTCTCGATGCACCAGTTGTGATCCCCAGCTCGTCCCCACCTAGCCTCCGAGGCCTTCTCCCTGCCGTATCCCTTGGCGGTGGTGCCATTCAAGCACACGAAGTCATAGGCCTTGCAGGCCTGCGCGATAAATGTGAGTCGCTCCCCATCGGGTTGTACTGGAGCACGCGCAGCCGCCGCCCAGCCAGAGGAGCAGGAGGCGGGAGGAGGGAGGAGGACGAGGAGGTGGGGAGGGAGGGAAGGGTGGAGGAGGAAGGGGAGGAGGGAAGGAGGAGCGCACAGTGCTGCAGAATATCAGCGGCGCGCCGAGGGGGGAGGTCCTCTCAGAAGGCGCCGATGCTCATGAGCAGCCCGCCGGCCTTCTCCGAGACGCCCTCTGCGGCCTCGGAGAAGGCCCAGAAAGCTTCGCGCAGAGGCCGGCGACTCCGAAGGCTGTGGTCTGCGAAGGGTGCGGGCTTGCAGCCCACGCCCTGCGGGGGCGGGCGAGGACATCGACGGCGCTCTCCGCCGCGCCCCGAGGCGGCCCGACGAGGGCAGCGCGGAGTCCCCCAGCCGACGGAGACCATCGTAGAGAACCCCCCGGCGCAGCCACCTCTGCAGTCGCCGGAGAAGGCCTGGAGCCCTCCGGGCCTTCTGCGAAGGCCCGCCCCCTCGGCGGCGTCTACCCTGGGCGCGCCGCCGACGCAATCGCGCGGATGCGCGCTCGCACGCGCGAGCGCGCACTTGTACGCGTCACTCGAGGCCCCCGAGTTCGGAACGCCATGCTTTTTGAAGCAGGCTTTTCCGGCGGCGTCGGCCGACCGCCTCACCGACCCCGGACCCGGGCCCGCCCCATGGACCCAGGCATGGGCCCAGGCCCAGGATCGGAACGAGGTGGCCAGCGGGCGGCCGCCCGACCTTTGGCTCTTATCCAGTCACGCTCGCGAGAGGGAGAGAGAGAGCGTGGTGGCAGATGACGCGCCGAGGACGCAGAAGAAGCCACTGCGCAGAAGCTGCGAACCGCCTCGGTAAACTACGCGGGACAGAATCGCAGCGCAAACTGCCGCTGCGCGTGACGTGACGCCGCGGCGTTGCAGGGCACCGTCCGGCCGAGGCATCTCACAACACGCCCCTCGGCGCGGGGGGGAGGCGCAGGGGCAGAGGGGAGAGGGCGCACGCCGAGGCCAGCCGATTAAAGGAACGAGTGGCCGTGGCCGGCCAAGCTGGTCTCGGGATCGCCCGCCTCTGCCTCCTCGGCCACGCGAGGCCCTGCCCGCCCGCGCTCCACCGGGGCCCCGGCCGTGGCCGCGCCGTGGCACGCCTGGGCCGCAGCCGCCAGGAGCCCAGGCGCAGCGGCACGCAGCACCTCCACGTCGCCACAGCGCGCGAGCGCGGCGGCGTGGCCATGACCCGTCATGAGCTCGATGAAGTGGTGCGGGACCCCCGCGATGGTTCCCGCGACCACAGCCACGGCCAAGGCCACGGCGGGGGCCGCGGCCACTGCCGCCGCGTAGATCCCGCATGCGGACGCTGGCGTTCTGTGCGCCTCCACCACGGGTGCGGCTGGCGGCAGAGCGGCTACCTTCAGCGACCGAACGTCCCCTGAGACCCGACGCTGCAACAAAAATATGCAACATCGCGAAAAACCGAGACCGACGCCCCAGAGCCAATTTTTCGAGCCAGATCGATCTGTGATGCTCCTGGGTCCGACTCCCGGCAAGGCAGCCGGGAGTGGAAGCGCGGATCTGGGGGCCCACCTGCGGAGCAGCTCGGCCGCTGCGGAGCAACCACGGCGCGCTGGCGGCAGCGGCCTCCTGCGGCGGCTTAGCGGCCTCGGCGCTCCGGGGGAGGTGGCCGACCTCCGCGCCGGTGGCGCCGGGCACGTCGCGGGAGGCGGTTCCGGCGCCGAAGAAGGGCCCGACGGCTTGGCACTGCAGCCGCGGAGACTGCTCGAGGCCTTCGCCCTGGCGCTGGCCCTCGAGCGCCTCCGGCACCGGGCCGCGTGGCCCTGCCTGGGCTCCAGCCTGCGCCCCGGCGAAGACCTGCTGCTGCGACCTCGGCGGGGGAGGCGGAGCGGAGCGGAACGGCAGCGGCGGAGCGCGGCCTCGGCGTCCTCGGGGAGGCGGCCTTCGGCAGAAAGGGCGGCCGACCTCCAGAAGAGAGGAACATAACGCCATAAGCATAAACGTTTTGGCGCTCCGCGCGGGTTTGTTGGATCCGCGCTGGGCCCCCCCAGCGGCGCCTCCGGCGCCGCCCCTGGCGCAGACACAAGGAATCCGCGCGGAGCGCCAGGAGTTTCTATGGCGTTTTTTCTTCTAGACCTTCGCGCCGGTGGCGCCGGGCACGTCGCGGGAGGCGGCGCCGGCGCCGCCGAAGGGCCTGACCTCGCCCTCACGAAAAAACGTTCCTGGGGGCCCGCCGTTGGCCTGCGTGGTCGCCTGATGTGCGACGGCTTGGGAGGTTGCGTGCCAAGCGGCCCCGCAATCCCCGTCGCTGGCCATTGTGCTATCGCCGTCGGAAGGGGCGCGGCTGGGCGGTGCTGGAACGAACACGGGCGCGTCGGCATTGAGCTTCCAGGCCCCGAACTCCTCGAGAGACTGCCATGGCACCAGGCCATATGCCCCTGCCTGGGCTCCAGCCTCCGCCCAGGCGAAGAGCTGCTGCTGCGACCTCGCCTGCTGCGGTGAGTCCAGGGCGCCGCCGTGCCCTGCAGCGCTGGTGGATGCCGTGGGGGAAGCAGCGCCCCGGTGGGCATCCACTGCCAACGTGACCCGCTGCGGGCTGCCGCCTGGGGAGGGGCACGCGTGCCTTTCCCGACCCCCTTCAGTACCTCCCTCCTCCTCTCTGAGAGATCCTGGTGTCGAAATTTTGTCGCTGCGGGCGACTTTGCATTGTCTCGGGCCCTGGGGACCCTCATGGATTGACCTGGCTCGAAAACATGCCGCAAAAAGATGGGATCCAACGATGCCCAGTCGAATGCTTGTTTCACGATGTTGCCATGCGCTCCGTGACGTCGGATCTCAGGGTCGCTCCTCTGAGCGCGAAAAGTGCTCCCATTCGGCTGCACGCCAGAGCGGCCATGGGCAAGGGCGGCACGTGGGCTCCAGAAATCCTGACCCCGGATTTTTTGTTGAAGGGGCCCTGGGACACACTAAAAAATAGACACAAGTCCCAGGATTCCCCCTATCCTCCCATATCTTCTGGATGTTCGCCCTCCCCCCCCCACACTTCCAATGCCTTCCCTTATTGTCCTGGGCATCGACGATGAACTGTGTCTGCGCATGGTCTTCCCCTCCTGAACTTGGGCCACCTCCTGGGAGGGCAACTCTTCCCTCCGCCGCCTTCCGCCGAGCCTCCGCGGCTTCCGCCGCCGGGGAGCCGCCCTCGCTCCCCTCCGCCGCCCTCCGTCGCTGTCCGCCCAGGAAGAGGTGGCACACCCCTTCGATCCTCGAGGGCAGGGCCCTTCCTGTGGTGGTGGGAGGAGGAGGAGGAGGAGGAGGAGGAGGAGGAGGAGGAGGAGGAGGAGGAGGAGGAGGAGGAGGACGAGGAGGAGGAGGAGGAGGGGGAGGGGGAGGAGGGGGAGGAGGAGGAGGAGGAAGCCCTGACCTCTCCTACGCTGGGGGGGGGGGCCCGTCCGCGGCGGGGGCGCGCGCCGCGCCGCGCCATCGGGCCCGTCTGCGAGGTCGGGGTTCGGCGCGGCGGCCTCGCCCGCGGCCGCAGGTGCGGCTGACCTGAACTTTGCCAGTTTCATCCTGAGCTATGTTCTGCTGGCAAGAGCGGCCTGGCCATCGTCAAGAAGGGCTACGAGACTATGACCGTCGGCGTGACCGACGAGACCTTGACCGCCGTCATTGGCGAGACGGAGGCTGCCGACGTCAAGGTGGGTGTGATTCTCGGCACCATCGTCGGAATTCTCGATATGCATGTGATCGAGCGTGGAGTCGTGCAGAGGCTGCTCGACGTCGCGCTGCATATTCGTTGTGCCGTGTCGAGGCCGCGGACGCCCAGGACGTTTGCTACCTGTTGCTGCACCATACAGCGCAGCTCTCCTTCGCCTTGCAGCAAGCGACGGCTGTGCAGAGGGGCAAAGACATTGTGTCCCCCGTGGAAGGCCAGCCGAACAAGGAATACGTCAAGGTGGAGATTGGGCGCAGGACTGGCCTGAAAGGGTTCCAGGTGGCGACCGTCAACCTGGTTTGCAACGCTGGCGGCTGCCACCGCGGCCAGGACGCGGACGCGAAGGTGATCGTGGAGCAAGACGTGGGTCATCGTGGAGGTGAGCTGGGTCATCGTGGAGGTGAGCTGGTTCAACGTGGAGGCGAGCTGGGTCAACTTGGAGGTGAGCTGGGTCACCACGGAGGTGAGCTGGGTCATCGTGGAGGTGAGCTGGGTCATCGTGGAGGTGAGCTGGGTCATCGTGGAGGTGAGCTGGGTCATCGTGGAGGTGAGCTGGTTCAACGTGGAGGCGAGCTGGTTCAACGTGGAGGCGAGCTGGGTCACGACTGAGGTGAGCTGGGTCATCGTGGAGGTGAGCTGGGTCAGCACGGAGGCGAGCTGGGTCATCGTGGAGGTGAGCTGGGTCATCGTGGAGAGGAGCTGGCTCAACGTGATGGCCAGCACGGAGGTGAGCTGGGTCATCGTGGAGGTGAGCGGGTCCACCATGGAGGTGATCTGGTTCAACGCGGAGGCAAGCTGGGTGAGCTGGGTGAGTGGGCTTCCCGAGGCTTGGCTACGCCTATGCGCCCGGCATGCCAGTTCCAGCTCTGGCCAATTCGTCCGTCGGCGCCAACGCCTCCTCCGTGCCGAACGCGCCTTGGCTGCTGAGGACGAGGAGTGGCAGGATGACGAGGGATTGCTATTGGATTCTGACGCAGATGGGGAGGGAACTACGGCTCATGACACGGAGGTGTTCGCGAGGATGCTAGTGAACGGCGTTGCGAGCATGCTACGGGACAGAGCGCTTGCAGACAAAGGCTATCTCCCGATCAGCGAGTTGTCCAGGGAGTTCATGAACCAGTGGAAGTTTCCCTTCGACCCCCAGCAGGCTGGCGAGAGCGACGCGGTGGGCTTGCTGAAAAAGTGGCCCCGCAAAGTGGAGATGCGACACGACGGGGAGCAATACCTGCTCCGTCTCGCGGGAGTGACATAGGCGGGGCGTGAGTGATGCCTTTATGGAGGAGGAGGGTGGTTTGAGACGGGGGAGACGGCGACGTTTGTGTTGTGTCGTTCCTCGGCGGCGATTGCTGGCGACAGGGGTCGTGTGAACGCGAGCGGGTCACTCCCCCGACAGGCCAGCTGGCCCTCGCGCCCTTGTCCAATCGGGCTCTCGTGATGCAGGCCTAGCGGCTCTGGCCCATCGGCCTCTCTGCAAGCTCTGGCTGCTCGCAGGCGGCGTGTGCCTCCTGCCGTGCAGCCTGAGCCATACGGATCGAGGATCTGTTGGTGGAGGTGGAGGAGGAGGTGCACAGGAGGTTGGAGGCTTTGTTGGAGGATGTTGCGATTATGTGCTGCCTGCTAGCCTGCTCGAAGCCCTGGCGGCCTGGTGGATCTTCGACTCCTGGGGGTGCGGCAACTGTAGTCAGAGCCTGCCGCCATCACCGAGGCTCTTGCCGATCCATTATGTTACCCAATCAGAGCTTGCCTCTGTAGGGGTCCTAGCGGATTGACGGGTATAGGTGAGGTCATGCCACCGATTCGGTGGCCGGGCCCGGGTGCCCGGGTGCCCGGGTGCCCGGGTTCGCCGCCGATTCGGTGGCCAAGCTCGGGTGCC